TCATTATACCAACGATGCTTCCCCAGCTGATTGGTAACGGTGTATAATATTAAGCTTCCAACAAGATGTTATGTTTCCGAGGATCTATTGCGGACGATCTAGTTCGCAATTTTCGCAGTCTGTAATTTTATTTAAATGGCTTATTAAAGAATTTTTATTAATTGACACCCTTTGTTTCAAGACTTATTGTATTACAGATGTAGTATTGAGTATCAGTAACGTATTGTTTCATAATAATTACGGTAAAGATCAGTAATAATTTCGGTATAAGATTTAAAAAAATTTTATTTTATTTTATAATTACATATTATTTTTTAGAGTTTAATTTGTGTTTATTCTATTTCGCATATTCTCTATTTTATTAATAATTACAATTACGCAGGTTGTTATAATTTTTGAAAATTATCGAGATTCGAACCTGATATCCCTAGAATAGCAGACTTGTACGCTAACACTGAGCTAATGATACTTTGTACATAGGACTTATTTTTTCCGATATATAGGTATATAGTTACTGAATCATCATGGACGACAACTTAGATCAAACAAAAAAATCTTCACCTATTTATTTTTACACAGTGTTTTCTTGTTCATTGTTTTTGAAAATAGGAAATGAGAACTTTATATGTTTGTATGTTTTTCTTACATATCTACATTGTTATTCTTCAAGTATGTTTTATATTAAACGTACTCACCAATACGTTCATTTAAAACACTTTAAATTAGCAGTCCAAAATTAGAAAGATACATCTTCAGCAAGTTATTTGATCTTTGAACGCGAATTATTCTGATTTTAATTTTGAAGTTTAAAGCTATGAATTGATATATGTATACGGCGGAAAAGTCAAAACTGTAAGTATTAGATGCGTTACAAACAAATATATACATATCTATAATACCCAAATTATTCTTATTATACAGGGTATCCGGTACTAAATGGTAAAGCGCTTGTGGGTAGAGCAAACTAAATTGAATCGAAAAATTCTGTACCATTTTGCAATTTTCTCAACGAAATGTTAATTACTAAAGATCATCGAATAAGCACAGCCTACCATCAAATGTAATCGCACGACAAGATACGACCTAGTTGCTAGACATTAGAGGACTTATTGATTACAAACGACTTACTACAAGTAGTATAAATACAAAAGCTAAAGATAAAAAAAGATAAAAAAAGTATAGAGGAGTCATACTAAAACAATTGAAAACACGAAGTTATAGCTTCTGCAAGTTATTTACACGCTAAAGTTTTTACACACATGAATATTATAAATTATAACAAAACAAATTATAATTATTTGTTAATGTATAATTAGATTTTTATTAATAATAATAACAAAATAAATTATTATTTTAGAATTTTCAATTAATACGTGTATTAATAACTTAATTATCAACAGTATCACAAGTAAGAATATGAAGTTTTATTTTAATTTTGTTTATTGTAATTGATATACAAAGGTTTATTAATAAAATTAATAATATTGAAATTATAGATATTCACAGCACATCCATAAGTGAAAATATTTATAATATTACATTTGAAGATATAAATATAAAAAATGTATTAATAACAATACGACAACTTTAATTGTTATATGTCTGATTTTAGAGAAATAATTAAGGAATATAATGCAGAATTTATTTAATATTATGTTTTAGTCAATTTCTTATTGTTAATTGATACAAGAGTCATTTTTTAAAATAAGAATTGTTTTGTCATAAACTGATTGTGACTTAAAATTCTTATTTTTACAATAAAAATATGTTTTATACTATTTTTTTATTATATATAAATCCCCGTTGATCCAAGTATATTTGAGATCGAGAGACACTGAACGAGAGATGAACATTGATGACGAAATCCATGAAATTGTTACTGATTCTGAGCTCGTCTTCTGAGCTCAGAAATGATTGGATATCAATAGGGATTATGTTAAAAAACATTTTAAAATATTTAACATATTTTTATTGTAAAAACAGGAATTTTAAACAATAAAATATTAAGAGTTTATGACAAAACGATTCTTATTTTGAAAATGCTCCATATAGGGGAGACCGGGGACAAAAGTAACTATTTTAAATTTAAAGTCTTATAACAGTTTAATTATAATATTTACATTTAAATTAATTTTGTAACAGTAGAGGGGGCGATTGTATTATATTATTTATAGGTAAACACTTCGTTATTTATTAAGTTTTATGCAATACAATTATTTATAATTACATATGTCAATGCTATATGGATATATGTATATAATATATATTTAATAAAATTAATTATAATAAAATAAAAGGAACAAAATCTATATAAATCTATAAAAAACTTTTTTTTCTAATAAATTCAAATAACATTGTGAAAAAAAAAACACTCTAATAAAACCAAGCAAATCCGGAGACAATTGTAACGCTACAACCATCTCCAGGCATCTCGATGTTATAATTGTCCCCTAATGATGTTTTATAATTCGAAGTAAAGTTTCAAAATAAATATATAGA